AAGATGAGTATGCTCTGCACGATAGAATAATATATGCTTTTCTGGATATTATGAATGTTGATCTCACTGGTTATCTAGATGAAATTAAACGAATTGGAAAAAAGGGCTTCCGACGGCCTATAGTCATTGAATTATTGAGTAAACAAATGACCAAACACATTTTAAAAAGCAAATCCTACTTTAAAGGAACAGGAATAGCAATTTCGGAATACCTTAATGATGAATTACTAAAAAATAGGAAACACATGATAGAAACTCTAATTATAGCCCGCCGAAATGGACAAAAGGCCAACATAATTACGATACTCTGTATATGAATGGAAAAAAGTACAACTCAGCATCTCAACCAAATCTTTCAAGTACTACTCAAGATTATACAAGCAACTCCAAACAAGAAATTATTTTACAAAAACAATGTAATGAATCTAAAACCAACTTTCGTTAATAACTGTAAAATATGTTTCAACATATTCAAAGCGTAACAAATAAGAAGCACCTAATAGAAGCCGCCACTCAGAATGACAAAAATTTACAAATCATCTGTCTAACAGAAACATGGTTAACGAAGGAAAAAATCTTTTTCAGTGCTTTCGTTTTTACTCGACTGCGCTACGCGGGTAATGTGTTTATTAATCAGTCTATGTATGTATGTTAGTTTCTATGTAGCGTTCTAGAGACCAAATGCGTAGGCCGATTTTGATGATTCTTACGTCAATCGATTTGTCTCAACCTTGCGAGTCACTAAAGACATGACAGTAATCAAAATTCACCACACCGACAAACAGATGCCATATTGTCAAAATGAAAAAAAAAACGATGGACTATGTCAAGTGGGGTATCGTTGAATATGTATTTTGAAATCATCTTTAGGTTCCTTTCATCATTTTTCATTTTAAACAATTGTTTAAGTTTTATAACGGTTTAAAGTTGTTAAACAAACGATTTTATCTCCCTCAAGGAAATGACTAGATTGCGAAATTTACCATCTTATAACGAAGTCAACGCATCGTAACTAAAAAGTATAAAATAAATAATTTAAAGAAAAACACAAAACCCGACTGCATAAAAACGAATTTAAAAAAAATGAATAAATAAATTAACTTAAATAAAAACTACAAAGAAAGAAACAAGCCTAGTAGTTTAGAATTACATTAAGTAATACTAAATAACTACACGATTGAAATAGTTTTATAATCGATACACACAAAACAAATCATAAATTCTAATGTAGAACAGAACGACTCACAGCCGGGGCCCATTTAAATTTTACCAATTAAATCTTCCCAAGTGGCCCCGACTATGAGTCGTTCTGTACTGCATTAGAATTTATTTGTTTTTTTTTTAATACTTCCTCATTTCTCTTCTGTAATACTAATTGTTTACTTCATAAGTAAATAGTTGATATATGTTATTTTAAGATTCGATATTCTAATATGAAATAAGTAAAAAATAATTGCGATATATCACATCGCTAGGCTGTAAATTTCATGTCCAATTTTGCATGATTCTTTCAAAGCAGAAAAATCATGGTTACAAAATAATATCACATATATGTGAATAATGTGAAGATGCCGTTGGATATTAAAAGATATTTAATTTAATTCGGTATTAGATTTCGATATATTGATATCTATCGATATCAACATAAAGATATCGTTAATTCTCGATGTCGATAGGTTTAGGCGTCAATATATCGATGTGTATACCTGGTTTAGTGATATATCGTTACATCCCTAATGTAAAGCTTTATGAAGAAACAACGGGAACGATCACTTGAACTACATAATTGTTTACTTAAGATTTTCGTCTTAGATCTTAATGCACTTGTGTCACATCTTAGTGACAACCTTAGTCACAAAGTCACAACACCGATTTTCTGACCAAGGATGTGACAAAATTGTGACAAGTAACCAAGATTTAAGACGAAATGACATCCATAAGTAAAAATTCCAAAAATTACGTAAATAATTCATTCATCAAAAGTTTGCCAAAGCTATATTCATATTCACTGAGTTGCATAATTGTCGGTAATTTTACTATCGATTGTTGACCATGTTAATTTGTACAACATCGATACTGTAAAGTACAAGATGAAGTATTGTTGCACATTGAAATGTTATCGGTACTATTAACGTAGTAAATAGTTCCTATTCTATATACTATCAGACCTAACAATATCGATATCATTGCACTGTATCAGTACTTTACCCTGTATCACACTACACATTTTATAATAACACAGGGGAAATGCACTTTAACTCGTCCTCAAAAGGTAAAACACGCTGCGAAGTACCCTTATGAGGAGAGAGGAGTGTAGTGCCTGGTCTTCGCAGCGTAAAGACTCCATCAAGGTCCCATCGGATCCATCGCACCACAGAAATAAATCTAGTTAGAAGGAACATGTTCGTCGATTTATATGGAGACCGAGCGTGCCACATTTTGTGTAGGTATCATGACGTCACGATCTTAATTTAGTGATGGAAGACATAATTTCACTTGCATCGAATACATGTTGTATTTGAAACGGCATACCGATTCTTATCGATTGAAATAACGATATCGATCGACGGAGACCAACGTGTACAGTCTGTCTATAAAGTCATGAAAAGAATGTTTGAGGAACTAACATTAGACACAAGTATGACAACACTGAATCAAACTGAAGCTACTTCTTCTAAACTCCGTCGAAAAGTAAAAAAATGAAGAGAATTTATCAGAGTGAAGCTCAGGATATTATTTATAAAGTTTTTCAGTGATGTTTATTGGAACAAGAAGCTAGACACATTTTATCATATTTGTAGGATGTTGAAGCTCGAACGGCAGTTATGGCTGGTATGTAATCTTGTTACTGATTGAGTTTTGGTTACCAGAAGTTTCAAATTTACTAAATATATGAATTTAAGTGTAAAAGAAGTATTGATTACATTATGCATTTATAGGTTAGATTGAAAATGTTAGAAGGCTATATTGTAGTGCGGCCCGAACTTTCAATACTTTTGGATAATCAAATTTATCATTGATTTTTAATCTGAATAAAAAATATACCTGTTAGGAATGTACGATTTTTACCTACGTACGCCAATAAAAAGTTTGTGCTTTATATTACTAAAATTATAGCATTAATTTGATCATTGTGGCGATTCCATTCTTTTTGCCAAATACATATAGGTATTACATTTTTAAAACTTACTTTCAGGAAAATCAGAGAATATAGTGATACGTATTGTAGATAAAGGTTATAAAAATGGTGGCATATTTGAAACCCCTGGGAAACATAGATAGTCGTCCTAAGAAATTAATTGTTAACTGCAACATTTGTGCACTTCGACAAAAGATTCAGTTCTTTTACTCTGTGAAAAAAAGAGGTACCTACATGAAGAAAACATCAGTGGATTGCCAAAACTGATCTGGATTTTAATTGTAGCCTAGAAGTTCTGCGTTAAATTCTGAAATATATTGGGTTTTCTTACAAGGAGTGTCAAAGTAACAGGCTTTAATCGAACACAAGCACACATTGCAGTAAAACGAGAAAACAACTTGGCAATTATAAAAAAAAAAGATTTATCAAAAATTACGATTACTATATTGTAATCTTCAATGTAGAATAAACTCATTGTCTACGAATTATACGCCTTTCTTTACCTTTTCTGGGGTAATAAAAGTAAAAAAAAAATCCTACTATCAAAATCATTTGTCTCACTACACAGGGTTGCTACGTGCACGATCGCAGCGCCCTCAATTTTTTTCATGACTTTATAGACAGACTACCATTTTGCTTAAATATTATGTATATGTCACGAACTCACGAATGTAATTTAGTGAATCGGCGCAAAAAAGATTTTATGCGATAGAATAGAAATCGGCATTTTTCTGTGGGCAAACACTTTGTAGTAGCCGCTACCCCCTCCCGACACGCTACACATTTTTACGTCCTGTGTTGTTATGTTATATTTCACGGCGGGCTTTTCTGCAACTCGATACTTAGTGCCTATTTTGCATGACACGGGGTTGCTTTAGTCCTGCCACCCCAGCTCCTCCAGGAAGCCCGTAAGATCTCGAACTCTGCCGCATGCTTCCACTAGTATCCTTGGGCTTCATAGATATGTAGTCCTTTTGTCTTAATAGGCTCCTGCATTCCAGTATCACATGAGTGCACAAGCGCTTATGTGATACTGGAATGGAGACTGAGGAGACAATCTCCTCAGTCTCCATGCACGCCCTGCTCAGAGGACTGTCAGAATAACCCATGTTATATAGGTGTTTGTTAAAGTTTCCATGTCCAGTAAGTATACCTACTATTTGCCTTAGAGTCTTGTTGCTTCAATCCATTTATTTTTAATATTAGGATCATACGGACAACTAAAACAAAAATTACAGTATAATTCAATATAAAATTAATTATCCTTTCTTCTGCTTTCAAAAACGATATATTTTTAATCGGGTAAAAAAATCGCATTGTACAGCACTATTCTCCATTTTTGACAGAAAAAAATGATAATTTGTCCTCCAACAAATTGACCTTGAATTATACATCGATGGTTTTTACAAGCACAGCAAATTTGGACTGTCAAATTAAAGCCGCAATGGAAAGCTATTACTGGACACATGACCGTTTTGATAAAAATAATACGGAGCAACAAAACTAATGATTTTTAATTCAAAATAGATATATCAAGGCAAATAGTTACTTACCGATGGAAGGAAATACCTCGACTATAAGATCCAACCATATCGGTGGTGTTTGAGCAGGTAATTATCGAACAACGCATCATTTTAAATTTCGTCCAACACCGATTGCGATCGAAAGTGGACTGAGCCTCGCGGCGAGCAATGAAGCTGTCTAGACGTCGTTTCGGCACGCGAAGTACGTACACTTTTTCCTTCTAACTAGATATATTTCTGTGCATCGCACTTTACACCAATGATAATATAGATTCTATCAATAGGCTTTCAATTCAATTGATTTGACGTCAGCTATTAATTGACGATCATTAACATTTTGTCTTAATCGACTATCGATAATGGCACACAACTCTATTGACATTGACAAATGACAATAGTAGGCAAATTCACTGGATACATCAAGTTTATCATTTATTTTTGTAACCAACTATCCGCATAAAAGCTAATTAGAAAACATAAAATGTAACGTACAGAAACAGAACAATTCAATTTAAAGTGTTATCATGTTTTTCAGAAATGTTTGGTCTGCTGCGGAGTTGACTAATAACTGGTAAGGACTAAAAAAGTAACCCTAAACAATATTAACATTAATCCATGATATCCATTTATATAACATAAAATCCATTAACAATTTTTCTTTACATAAAATACATAAGACTTAAAATAATAATATGATACCGCTTCTTCAACTAGTAAATTATTGTGAAACTTTTCAGCAAGTCAATACTGTTGAACCAATGCCGCAGTGTAAAGGGCCATATACATATTCAATGCCGAACCGCATTCCAAAACACACGACGTGGTAGCCGGCGCGCCTTCAAATCAGACCCCCTTGAACAACTCCATATAGAATCAGGACCTCTTAATGCCAAAGGATTGGTGAAACCTCTCTTTTTTGCAGTAGGAGTAAGTAACAAAAAATTGTCTCATGAGTGTTAAAAAAACCATATCAAAATTGGATATTTTTTATTTTCTCTGCTAGCTCTCCAACAGTGTCTCCTAATGCATGGCCTTATATTATATGTATAAACATTCCTCCTGAATCACTCTGTATGTTGATAAAAACTGCATCATAATCCATTGTATACATAGTTTAAAACATCAGCCTATGGACAGTGGGAAGCGTCTCTGTTTCATACCTAGTATGTACATATAGATGTGCATAAACTCGCAAAATGGGAATTAATGCCTGAAGCTTAAAATGTTTTTATTATTTTTTTATTATTTTCATTTATTTATGCAATGGTTGGACCATGGTTTTTAAAATTTAGATGCTGTCTTAAGAATACTCTTACTTTCTATACAGAAATTAATTATCTTACAGTATAAATTATTTGGATATATTAATTATAGCGTCAATCTGTTTATTTCATATAAAGTATCTATTTTGTGTTAGTGTAATAATGTATGCCGCATATAAAATTTTAAAATACTTACAACTTTTAGGTATCTACTGCAAGTTTGGCAGGTTGTGTTATATGGGAATATGAAAACTTAAGAGTGCATACTTCAACATTATTGAGGAAACCAGGTACCTGGCTGAGTGCACAACAGAAAAGAATTACAACACATTTTGTAAGTTTTTCATGATAAGGAGCATGGGTGGTTTTGGGCTATCAGCAGCCATTGATGAAATCAGTATCAAACAAAAGTACCAATGCTTAGAAACAACTTTTGCTTTGGAAGTTTTGACGGATTTCATTTTGTTTTGAAAATTATTAAATATGAAAAAGAAATTATATATTATTGAGAAATTATATATTAACATTTCATAATTATTGAGATTTAATTAGGAATTAATAAATTAGAATGTATCAACTATTATTACAGAAACCTGAACCAGGGCCCATTCAGAAATGGTGGAACTCACTAAAAGAAACTGAAAAGGTATTCTATCCAATTTTGGCTGCTAATATACTTGTCTTTGGAGCATGGAGAGTGAGAGCTTTACAACCTATTATGGTCAAATATTTCTGTTCAAATCCATCAGGAAGTAAGTACTATATAAAAATTATACAAATGTTTATTACATACTTCCTAAAAAAAAATCTTAAGATTTTTTTTATTTACAGGTGCAATATGTCTACCAATGCTACTGTCTACATTTAGTCATTATTCTGCTTTTCATTTAGCTGCAAATATGTATGTCTTATACAGCTTTATGCCAGGTGAATAATATTCCTTTATCCATACATAGTATTTATAAGTTCAAAAACTAAAACCTGACTACAACTAAATCATGCTCTAAAAAGTTTGAACAAGAAATTTATTTTATAGCGATAGCTACATTATAGTAGCGAAGAACAAACACAGTGTAGTCGTACAACACTAATCATAACAAAACAAACTGTTGTGGCCATTCATTTGATACCCTACCTACACGGAATGATTTTTTTAAGTTTCTTACTTTATACTCTCTAGAGGACACTTTTGCCAATTTAATGTAATCACACATAACCTATAGCACGCGGATAACTAAGACGCTTCTAATGATATCTAACTGTCCAGTTACCATGAGTACACTTACATTTATGCTAAAATCATAACCCTCCTTTTCGCTTCGCCGTAGTCGGGTAAAAAGTAAGAAGTAGTTTCCAGCTGTCTGTATGCTTAGATCTTTTAAACCACACAATTGATTTAAATACTGTTTTCATCAATATTCAGAGCGATATAAGAGGAAGATTTATTTGTATAATACATTTTGCATGGGGATTCTTTTATTTGACGTAGGTGCTGGTGTTATTTGAAATCGACTTTCAGAGTGTTTTTGGAGTTGATAGTTTGTATAAAACTGCGAACGACATAAATCAACAGCGACATAAGCTGTGGGAAATCAGCTGAAGTATTATAATACTATACTAGTACAAATTTATAGTAAATTATGTTGCCTTCCTAACCCAAGCAATTCGTCGAACAACTTTTGTTACCTTTATTGTTTTTGAGAACACAATCCAAAATATTGACGCCCCTGGCACAAAGTTAAATTTTATCACGGTAGGGGTAGGACAACTTTTTTATATATTTTTATTTTATAGATATACATGAAATATATCTAAAAATATTTAAAATTTTAATTTTTCAAAATTATAAATATTTTATGCCTTGACTTTTTTTTCATAATCAGTTTAAGCAATATTATAAATATAAGCATAAAAGTATGATTCTTAGTAATAGAATACTAAGCACTACCAGAAGAAAATAATAATGTACCTATTTATTTTCGTTTAATGTCAACACATGTGAATTATTTTTTTAATTGAGCGATTTTTTTTACCATTTCATTAAAAATATTTCTTTACACAGCTGCTGTATCATCATTAGGCAAAGAGCAATTTGTGGCTATGTACCTAAGCGCAGGTGTCATTAGTAGTTTTGCCAGCTTCCTTTACAAGGTGGCTTTTAATCAGCCTGGCCTTAGTCTTGGTGCGGTAAGTTATATTTTTACACTTAAAGATTGCACAATATTTGCATTTACCTACACTTATCTTCAGTCTAATTAACCTTTTTAATATTATTTTGGCGAAGAACCAATAGGTACGGGGCCGTTCAAGCACCAAGGAATGAAGTGTAGGTATATATTGGAAACTTCTGTACTATTCTACAAAAAACAAAAAATAACTTATGAATTAATAACTCCCAGTTAGTTGTGTTTACACAATATTAATGAGGAGCTGAGCAAAGTTCGTCATGAGTTAGATCAAGAGTTTCCTAAATTGTCTCGATAGATTTTCGTCTATTAAATTTTACTTTATTTGATAGAGATGATGTCTGATTAAAAGAAAAGAGATTCTATTTAGTCCGTCAGTCGGATAACACAAAATATTAATTTTATTTTACTTCCATTTAACAATAAATGGCTTTAGATAATAAGTATTAAAGTTGAGCGCGTCTTAAACCGTACTTAGGGGCCGTCCATAAATTACGTCACACAAAATTTTTAATTAAAATTAATTAATTAAAAATTATTCTTTATATCCATTTATTTCAAAGTGAAGATAAACGTGCGAGTTAAAATATGACCAAAGTACCTATTTACTAAATTCAAGATTAATCTTTATACGAATAACCTGTATCTATTAAGCGTCCGTTATAGGATTCGGAATGCTTGATTCAACTCCCAAATTGTGAAAAAATGTTAATGTGATGAAAAATATTACAATTTATCAGTACCTAACGAAATAGGGATAATTAGTCAATAATGAATACAGAATCATAAAATACAATTCTAGCCAGCTCTAAAACTACAGTACTGCCGGTGTCCAACCGTGGGAGTTTTACCGTGGGAGAGCCACGCTTCGGCATGAATGGGCCGGCTCGACCGGAGTGATACCACGGCCTCACAGAAAACCGACGTGAAGCAACGCTTGCGTTGTGTTTCGTCGTGTGAGTGAGGGTATCGGAGGCCCAACCCCTCCCTATTCCCTTCCCTCTAAGGCCGGCAGCGCGCTTGTAGCCCCTCCGGTGTTGCAGGTGTCCATGGGCGACGGTAATCACTTACCATCAGGTGATCCGTCTGCTCGTCTGCCCCTATCCCATAAAAAAAAAACGACTAACCAACTACTTATCTCTGAAACTAATTATCTTCTGTTTAGCCCTTTTTCGTAACATATTAAATTAAAGCATTAACGACTCCAGAATTTATTTCAAAATCGAAAAGATCCTCATTCTTTAGCACTGTTTAGTTTAGAGCGTTTTCATTCTTATTCTTAAGCGAATCGCTTTTTTTATGTAAAATTTTTGTTTTCAGTCGGGAGCAATTATGTCAGTACTGTCGTATGTTTGCATGCAGTACCCAGACACTAGGCTTAGCATTATTTTCTTGCCTATGTACACGTTCGCAGCTGGCACAGTAAGTGAAGGTAGTTTTAGAATGAAGAAGTATTAAAAAAAAGAAAGCACTATAAAGCACCTCCACTAGATGGCGACCCCAGCGAAAGTTGATTTTTACAGGAAACGAATGGACCAAAGATAGTCATTTCCAGTCGTTTTAACAAACATATTAAAAAACTAAAGTTCGAATTTTAGATATCAATACAAATACGAAAAAAAAATAGAATATGAGTTGTTTACTGAATTTTGAAAACTAATTTTCTTTCATGTATGAAAGTCATGGAGAAATCAAGAACGTACCGTAGCGACATCTAGTTTGATTCGGGAACTAATGCTTTTTTTAATACTTCCTCATTGTGATACAAATTTTTTAAACAAATAACATTAACAATTTTTTATTTAAGGTTACACTTTTATTGAGCTGATATAATTACCAATATGCATTTTCTTCTTCTAATTTTCAGGCTATAAAGGTCATCATGAGCGTAGACTTAGCAGGTGTTATTTTAGGATGGAAGTTTTTTGATCATGCAGCACATCTTGGCGGTGCCTTATTTGGAATGTAAGTAGTGAAATGTTTCATTTAAAAAAAAAAACATATACAACGTAATAATTAACACACATCCTAAAAGTAGTTTGTTTAAAATCATATACTGATTCTATTTCAACAACTTCTAATATAGGTACATAATTTTTTCTACTAAATTTAAATTGGAATCAAGTAAATTATGGTTATCTGTAACCATTGCAGCCGTCGCAAACAAAAAATAAATTTACCCTTATTACATTCTAAGGCTTTTTAAAATGCACTAAATTCTTAGCTTGTAATAAAATACATTAGAAAAATAAAAACAAAGAAAAATGAGCTTTCTTTTAACGTGCGTTGGGTGTAAAATGCTCTTAAACGCTATGATGCACAAGTATATACCACATATAAACATGACATATTTGACAAACACGACAGTGGCAGTGGATAATTATTTTATCGAAATTTAAGATTATCGAATCTTCAATTTCACATGCGATGATTCTTCATTATACTAACGTACAGTAAATACTATATACTAGCCGATACTCATAACAAGTAACAATCACAATTATTGTCTAAATTTAAAAAACACTGAATCTCGAAACAGAATAATATTTCATGTCGAGAATTTTGTTGGTAGGTAGGTGGTAACATTGTGGTATTGCGAGGTAGATACATACATTTGTAGTTGTAGTTGCTAAGAAGTAATTATGACGTCATTATGTGGATTTGTTACCCAGCAATTAGTATAGCTGTGTCCATACATAAATAATGTTTTAATACACGTGTAATAAATAAACCTATCACACATGTATTATAACATTATTACACATATAATAATGTTATAATACATGTGTGATAGATTTATAAATGAAATCATGGTATGTTTTAAACTTATTATAATGATAAATCGTATTAAAGTAATATTAATTGAATTTGTGATTTTTCTTGACAGAGCATGGTGCCACTGGGGTGGCTCTCATATATGGGCCAATCGAGACAAGTTTGTGCAGTATTATCACGCTTTGAGAAAAACTGACACTAGTAGATAGTGAAGAATTGGGCACTTTCTACTTGATATAATCTCAGATGAACATTGGGAAGGCAGACATAAAATTAATTTAAATAAATAATGTCTTGTCTAATTAAGCTTGTCTGGGACATTATCAAGAGTCAAACAGACCCTGAAAATCCATAACTCCACAATTCAATTGTTATTTAATAATATTTTAATTGTCCTGTAATAGTTTGACCAGATAACCTTCAGAAAACTTTAGTAAAAAAAATAGTGAATTATACAACCATAAAGAGTAAGTTGCTCTATATAATATTCTAAAATAATAAAAACAAGTTTATAACATATTCGTTTTTATAACAACATTTTATACAATAAAATATATATTTGATTCAATAAATGCACTATATTTTGAAATGAACTCTGATATCAATTCTAGCTCTTGAGGATTTTTGCATGAAAATCAAAATGTTCTCCAATAAATGTAGAAATATAGTAATATGAATGGTCGTAGTCTTCTCGTAGGTTTAATATGACTGGAACACCTGCAGAGCGGCATGCTTCCACTATATTTTCTGGCAAGAGCTGCTTTTCAATATAGAACTTATCCCCAGCTCCCTAAAAGCGTAATGTTTAAAAATTAAAATGAGTCAATGTATAGCAGCCCACTTTTAATACTTGTATCTATAGTTGGGAGCAATTGACAAAAATACTGTTAATAGGTAATAATAATGGTATTCTTACTGTTGACAGTTCTTCATTAAAATCAATTAAATAAATTCATGGCTCATAAATATAAGTCACTTTTTAAATCAAATGAAATTTTGCTAGCTACTTAACTGCTGGATTGGGAAATGATTCATTAAAATTGCAATATATAAAAAAATAAGATCAGTAGAAAACTAATATTAAGTACTCAACTTATAAAATTTTACAAAGAAGTAGGTTAGAAAAGCATTATTCAGGTGAACAAATATAATAAGAATTACATTCACCTGGTCCAAAAGCAAAGTTAATGGAGGTCCATTATATTTCTTGACAAGTTCAGTTGCATCCCATGAAGCCCATTCAGTTTTGTTTTCACCAAGATAACCTGTAAATGCTTTTTCACCCCAAGGGCACTTACTGGGGTTACAAATAGGGGCAAAGGCGCTCACCGACTTGTATAAGCCAGGATTCCTCAGAGTAGACACAAGTGCACCATGTCCTCCCATACTAAAACCATAACAACATGAAAACCATTTAGATTAAATAATGCACACAAAGTTTTCCAGTATCATAATATCCTTTAAAATAATTATAACGCGATACTGCATTCTAGGTAATTTTGTAGTAGTTTCTGTAGTCATATTTAGCCCATATAGTAAACTAGCTTTCTGTCAGCGGCTTGCCTTCACGGGAGGATTAAACAATGACTTGACAATATATTTATCTCTAGCGAACTGTTTAATGGGTATAAAATTCCTATACATGAATTTAGGCTAAGACTTATCTTTATAACAATTTTCATCAAATCAGTATATTAGTCCTTTTGTTAAAGTAACATTGTTACAAAAATTTGCATTTAAAATTTTAGTAGAATAGGATATTGGTGCCAGCTCTATTGTACTACACTTAACAAAATTTTTTATTTTTATTTTGCTAACTTAGTCATTTACAGCATTGAAGTTTGACAGTCTTGAACCAAATTTAGTTTGTGCAATAGAATTGCTGCCAATACCTTTTCTTACTACAACCTTTTTTTTTTATACTATAGTGGAAAATACTTACCTAAATTCGGTAAAATTTACAAATAAATTTACCTATGTCCCATAATACCAATTCTGTCAGGATCTACGACAGGAAATGCAGCTTGAATCAATTCATACAACTCTTTGTTGACGTAGCTACCCATTCTATAGTTAGTAGACCAAGGCTCTTTGGTAGCATCTAAGTAAAAACCAGCTGAAACTCCAAAATCCCAAGACTCATTGTCACCTTGGATTTTTATACCCCTTGGAGACGTATCAGGTCCAACCACTATTATACCATGCTCTGCTGCATATCTGAGAAGTTGAAATTAGAAATATAAAGGAAAGATTTCACTTCTAAATAATTTAAATACTGGGTTGACAATTTTTATATTCACTTCAGCTATGGCCTTCAATCATGTCAAATCAAATCAAAATTATTTACTCAGTGTAGGCTGTTACAAGAACTTGTGAAAGTCAAGAGCTACACCATCGGTTCATAAATCTACAGAGGGATACCTTGTACCTAGAAACTCGGCGAGGGCTGCTTTTTTCTCCCTGTTTTATTTCATAGAGAGCATCAAGATTGAAAAATGACTTCATTAAAATATGAAGTCACTTTCCATTAGAATATTAGAAAATATAAAAGTAAAACAGTATTTATGTCAATTGAATCCCATGTCTAGTCAAACAAGCTCACTGATAAATAATTTAATTTAAATAAAATTAAGCTATATTGAAGACCAAACAGTTTTGTCGTTTAAATATTCACAGAAAGTAAAAATTGTAAAACTGCCAAGTCTGCATGGAAGAGTAATAAAAAACAAAATACTGTTTGTCTGCTTACCTTTGAAAACCGGCTTTGGTTATAAAATTCTGTTCAGTACAAGTTAAACCAGAAAGATAAAATATTACTGGTAATTTAACATCACCCTCGACTTGCGGTGGCAAGTAAATAGAAAAATTCATGGTGCATTTCAGTTCAGATGATTCATGAGAGAATACCTTTTGATAACCTCCAAATATCTTATTTGATGAAACAAGTCGCAGTTTCTCCATGGCAAATTTCTAAAGAATAAATAAATATAAATTATTCGAAATCACTTCTGTTAAAAAAAAAATATTAGTAGACCATAAGACTTAATTATTATCTGTACTTACTAGAGATAAGCCAAATACGTAAGTAAGATTAATTATGTTAAAAATACGATAAAATCAGTTAAAACTATATATAGACTTGTTGAAAAGATCATCACAGACTAGCATAGAAAACCTGAGTAGGTATAAGCACAGAACAAAAGTACTCTACGAGAAGAATGCCACTTCATAGAAAAATATTTTCCATAGAAACTAGCGCCACCTATAGTCAGCCCTCCGGAACAAGTAGTATGGCGGGAAGTTTAAATACTAACTTTATACTTAGGTTTCATATTAACTACCAAATTACTAAAACCAGTGTTTTCTGTGAATATTTTTCGTATACGAAATCCATAACATACACAAATTCCACAAACGAAAAACATCCACAGGGAACACAGGTTTTAGTAATTTGGTAGTTAATCTAGGTGAAATATAGGGACTACTTCAAAAAGGGAATATAACACAAGCAGATTATAATAACACACTTTATTTTCATTATTATTGTAACATACCGCTTTATTACACAAATTAAGTGAATTTTGAACATACTGTTTGGTTTTTAACTTTAATTTAACACTGATTTACAAGCCTTCAGCATTATTTTAATGTGTGCACCAAATTTTCAAGAAAATCATTTTGACACAGCATTCTACAATATGTTCGGTGAACAATTTCATTTGGAATTCTGTTGATGAATTCCGTCCTTTGTGGAAAATATATTTAGCCCACAATTCACATCTGAAAACAAATACAACGAAATTAAGAATGTTATATCCTTATAGTACAAGAGATAGAGCTACATTTTCCTAAGAATTTTATAACAAAGTAATTTAAATAATAGTTCGTAATCGATAAATATCCTTATTCACCTTCACCTACAGCATCACTTTTATCAGAAATAACATAAAATTCTTTCATACAGATTAGCATGACATACCTAATACTGAAGCTCTTTGACTCAGTCATATTTTTTACAACTAAATACAAGTATTTATGTAAATTCTAACTCTACTGCTAATAAAATACCTAACGCTAGCATTACATAATGGGAATATTCTCTTGTTAAAATGTAACGGAACTTCACGTACTATTCATTAGTTTGGAAATCTATAAATAGAAGATTAAAGCAAGTACCGTATAAGATTCCTTTTAGCCGGTTTCGGAAAACGAAAGAACTTTACATTATGCTGGGTTGGCGAACGTCCACACTTAAAATATTTTCTTGTTTTCTTTATCAGCCATATTTTTAACAACCACAACAACAGAAAAGAGTCACTATCTCAAATTTCACAAATAACTATGAATCCACTTTCTAAGCACATTAAAAGGAGGAACAAAAGCTCATCTCCACGTTATAATGATAAGAAAATGCAGGAAATAAGTTATTGTGATGGAATTAGCGATGGACGTTATTCGCGATAGACAGTTATTCAACTAGTGATCTGCCTGAACCGCGATCACTCGTGATTCAGTTATACAATAACTATCTATTTTCCATAACGTTCTAAAATTAAACCAAATTCATTCGTATGTCAACAGTATAAAGTCGATCTTTGATTTGACGATAACCAAGAAGAAGCGATCACAGATCGCAGCGATACGTAGACATCTTTATATATTAACGCTTTACATTGACGGTCGTGTAGTACAATTTTAATAACGGTATAGAATGTAACGCGTAATGTAGAGCGTTTAAATAATGTGGATCGCAAACAATCCAATCTGTCATGTGTGAATGAAACAAAAACAGGATATCAGTATACGTGTGAATGAAATAGGTATACGCTAGTTCGCTCACGTTATTCGGGTTTCGGAGTGATCAAGTAACCAACCCAAAATTGAGCTTTATCGCGTAAGCATAAGAGTAAAATTCGGTTTGACTTTAGCGTTGTAGAAATAACTAGTTATCAAAAATAGACAGTTTTGATATCGGTGATTGGCGATCTGATAGCGATTGCGTTACGTGATTTGAAAAATGGATAACGACCCATCGCTAGATGGAATCGCATGGAACAAGTGGGAACAATTTTTTTTTATTATTAGTTTTTACGGCTCTGGATACTAGTCCTTTTAAGCCTTACATAGTTTTTTGATAGATTACAAGATTAAAAATTCGTTCATTGTTCTTTCTTCTCACTCAGATATTTTTGACAGTATTGACAACAAACTTGAATAACGGTTTAAAGTATTTGTAGTCTTTTAATAATTCTTCCAGCGTTGATGGTATGTTCTTGGTGATTGCTTCAAGTTCGAAGTGGGAACAACAACAAAACAAATTGCCATTATCGACACTAAATCAGTTACAAAAATAACTACTACTAATTTTAACAATGATGCCTTCCAATTAATAAAATTAACACGATTGCAACTCAAAAAAAATAAAAGTCAACTGTATTATTTACTTGACTTAATAAGATGTATTTCTGGATATTAAAAACTTGGATAAATAGAATTTTTTGGTAAAAGACAACTACCAGAGACTACTAAAATGTGTGAAAATAATAATATGAGGCAACACTGCAGATTCATTTCATTGCCATACTATTAAATCTTAGTTGCTAGTTAAAAATATGGTATTATGAAAGATTATTTGGGTCTTTCATCATAAAATTTTGCCCCTCTAGGTATAGAAGTTACCACCCCCTGGGTATAAGACTGACATGAACACAGAACAATAATACTCTACGAACATGAATTAATAAGGATAAACTTAGCGATGGCGAAATGAATAACGTTGAATAATTCAACTAGTGATTTGCCTGATCCGCGATCACTAATGATTCAGTGATACAATAACTATCTTTTCTTCACAACGCTTTAAAGTATAGCTGAATTCACTCTTAAGAAAATCACTTAAGATTGATGTTTGGGCGACTTGCTTTACAATCACCACGATCATCAAGAAGTGGCAATCACAGTTCGCAACGATACGTAGATATGTCTTTGAGATGACACTTTACATTGACGGTCGTGTAATGAAATTTTGATAACCGTATAGAATGTAACACGTAATGTAAAGCGTTTAAATAATATGGATCGCAAACAATGCAACTTGTTATGTGTGATTGAAACAACAACGTTATTATAATATCTCTTTTTTGTATTGACATCTTCTTTATTTCCTTTTTATCTAAGTGTGACATCTGAAATCTTTCAGTTAATGAAAAGTCTTACATTGTGAATATGATATTCTACTTCCATAAAATAATTTAGATACTTTATTGGCGACGAGGATGGACGCCGAACAGTTTACGCAATTTTTACAAGCCCAACAGTTCGATGTTAGTATGGTGAACATACCATACCAACATCGAACTTGAATAACAACAATTTGAGTATATTCAAACATTTTAACATCGACAGGTTATTCCCTGATTGTTCTATAGTGGAAGATTACCTCGACCTCTTCGAAACTAAATGTAAAATTAATGGACATTTTGAAAACTGTTGCATCAAAAGTGGCCGAGCACAGATTGCAGGAAACAGTAATTTGAAACCAAAGTATGGTAATAAATTACAAAAAGTTACTAAAAACCGTACAACAACCGAAGATTCATCAGGAAGCAGTGATGATAGTGTCGATTATGTATGTAAAATTACACGAAACCAACAAAAGAAGAGAGACTGCAAAACAATCAAAAGAATTTATGTAATTATCGACGGACAACCCTGCACAATGCATTAGGATCCTGGTTCAACATACACAATTATTACCACACAGTTTTGAAGGACCATTGAATCTCCGATTCTAGCCAAAGCACCTAAATTAAAAGCTTATGGAGATTATAAACTTAAATCAAAAGGCCTTGCTGACGTAACTGTTAAAATTCAAGGTAAACAAAAAATCCTACCAGCTGTAGTTATAACGAATGCTAACCCTATGCTTTTTGGTTTACAATGGAGCGAAATGTTTGATATGGAATTTCCAAAACCTTTTTATTCTATCAAAAGCACAGGCATCACAACAACAAGTCTTAAAACAATATACTCAACTTTTTGAGAGAAAATAAGGGAAAGTTGAAGGTTATCAAGTGAGCATTTATGTTAAACAAGGTGCAGAACCTGAACATTTACCAGCACGTCCAATCTAATTTGGAATAAAAAGAAACATCGAGTTAGAGTTAGATGGCCTTGTATCTGAAGGCATCATAGAAAAAATAGATCCGAATATAACACCAGTCGAGTGGGCGACAATAACCGTAAACGCTGTAAAACCAAACGGAAATATACGTATCTGTGGGGACTACAGAAGCACTATTAACCCTATTTTAGTCAAACACTTACACCTCGTACCACTATTCGACCAACTACGACAAAAACTGACTCATGGCGAATGTTTTTCTAAAATAGACCTGAAGAATGCCTACCTTCAGTTCGAAATAGCTCCAGCTTCAAAGAAATACCTGACACTTACGACACACAAAGGTTATTTCCAATATAATAGAATGCCATTTGGAATATCGACAGCACCATCAATCTTTCAACATTATCTTGATACATTGTTGAGGAGGGCTATTGCGTAACTTTGTTGACAACTAATTTTGATAGCCACTGACAAAGTTGACATCAAATACCTGTCATACTTCGAATTTATTATTGGCTAACTTGAGTGTCCATCAAAGATCACGGGACCGTTGTACACCGTAAATTATTTTGACAAGCGGTGCCGTATCGAGTCTTAAATTGGTATTGTGTAAGCAGAGTGGCTATCAAATATACTACAAAGTGCTAATCATTTAAGTTTTCAACAAAGCCGGGAAAGGAACGGCTATGGAGCAGTGTTTTATCAATTTCCACTATTGAGCACTATTACCAGACTGCGTTGAATAGACAGAGCTAAGATAGAAATAGTTTTAATTTAGGTTTTACTGAAATTCGCGAGATAATATTGTGTTTATTCAATGAGTTTTTTGTTTGAATTGCACTATGATAAAAAAAAAAACAATTCTAATTTCGGATTTACTATTCAAAATACTATTGTGCTCGAAAGAAGTTTCTTTGTTTTGATTGCGTTAAAAAAGCTAATATTGAAAACAGTTATAATTTCGTATTCACTGGACTTTACAAGATAATATTGTTTGATTTACGAAGTTTCTTTGTTTGAAATCCGACAAGATACGAATCTATTGATGATGGCGAGCTCAGACCAAATAAAAAGTATAGACGGAGTTTTGCCTAACAGAAAAGTGAAGCCGACAAAACTACGCCTCGGCGTATTCGTACACAGTTTCACGCACACATACATAACGAATCTACGCCTTCCTTATCAGTCTAACTAAAGATAGTGTGCGGAACGTTTCATTATAAAAAAATATATATATATTTTTGCAAATTTATTTCTTGCTTTTTCTCGATCTAGCTTCTTTCTTTTCATTTTCGTTTCTCAGCCCCACTTTTATATTTTCTACTGATATGATAAATAAGACTGATATTTTCCTGAAAATAAACAATGAACTTGATAGTTTCCTGTGGTAAACAAAGCAAACGAGATAATCGATGTAATATTGTCACACTAATCAAATTTCAATACTTTGTAATAAATACAGTTATTCTCAAGTTATCACTAAAAACGCTCTAAAATGTAGAAATGTTTTTTTTCTTTTAAATTTTAACTACCAACTTATAACCTCATTCATTATACACAATAATATGATCACAATAGCTTGTCGCGAGGTTTAAGTACCTATGAATATTAAATTTATCAAATTTTACATAATTTAATTGGTACTACTTTATTTACACAAGTACTGCGCGACAAGGTTTTATGTTCATTTAAATATTGTATAATGAGGTTATAAGTTGGCTATTACAATTTTAAAGGAAATTTTATTTTCTTCTTTTACAGCGTTTAAATACCTTTTTTTTTGCTTCTAATTTATTTTTTACTTATCTAATTAATAAATTATTAATTAATTAATAACTGTTCCACCATTTCGAATATTCCGCCATATTGAATTTAGAATACATAACGTCATATTCTTTTTTATGTTACTCTCAAAGAGTCCTCATTTAATACCCATATTGTAGAAGTACATACAAAAAAAACTACCTATTCTGCCATCTTGGATGGTCCGCATATTGGATTTAGAAATAATAAAAACAAAAAAGACATGATTTATGATTTTTTACTTACCAACTAAACTGATTAGGTACTTTCAATCTTATGTAAATTAAGAGTAAGTCCGATTTTTATAACCTTTAGTTATCGCTTATTAGGAAACTAAACACTCACTAAACACAGTTCTAACAATAACACATTTAGTTTGTTACTTTGACGACGAAAACAGAAGTGCGGAAAAAAAATTACGTCAGCGTTGTGCGACGCGGCGGGAAGTCCCCCAAAATAGAGAAATATACCGATCACAAACAAACGACGGGATTTCCCTATTCCGTTCGATATACGGCCACGGATTTGATTGATCTCAGGTAGAGATGCAACGATACATCGAATATCATCAAATCAATCAAAATCGATATTTTTATTGAATCTTGCATGTCTAATGTCAAGGTTGCCGACCTTATGATAGGATTTTTTTTAATTTATGATATTTTTTTTTATTCAAAACATCGCCTATTATTTTCAGAGAAGGCTGGGGGCTCTTTGTATCCATGGGGCCTTGGGCTACAGCCCAAAAAGCTCATATGTAGATCCGCCCCTGGGCAGTCTTATACTTAGTTACAAGCTTTTATTTAGTTCACCTGTCCCAGTGATTGTTTGTTTTAAAACGATGCCCAATTGAAATATTTAATTACGTTATTAAATATATATAATTCAATTACTATTTTGATATACAGTGGACCCCCGGTGATCCGACAAATGTTTTGCAGGGCAGTGTCGTATTATCGAATTTGTCGGATTATAGAGTACCTACTGTCTAAGACCCCCTATAGTTCGGATTTTTTTACAAAGGACTACCTTGTAAAATTACAGATCAGTGATAAGAATCTATATGTTATAAGTAGGTACTCTGAACTACAAACTATACTTCATTATGTATGTCGAATCTAGAAGGTAAATTAAACATCTATAAGCTTACGTATTAATACAATGTATAAGTAATGTCATTTATGCTAGAACTTACAAAAAATAATAACTTTGCATTAGAAAATAATCGTGTACAAGCAAATGTACTTACGTAGGTACTAAAATAATTAGAAATTACGAATAAAAATTGAATAAATTAATTTTAGAAGCATGAAAATATTCATCATTTTTTTTGTTGACCAAAGTAGACCAAAGCTTTGTCTCGCAATTCAAAATAAGCAATCCGAATCAAAACAAAACCTACGCGTCGAGCGCAATAATGGTGGCGCGCACAAGTTGTGACCATGCATTACGTAGATACGTAAAAATATTCGAACGTGTCGGATTACAGGGGGCGCCAGATTAGACAAAGGCCGGATTACTGGGGTTCCACTGTAATGGTGAAGTGTGTACATACTTGATGCCCTAGTCTATTCACAAATGATGTAAATATTCGAGATTTAACTATTAGTTATCTATTTATTGTTCTTACATAAAAAAATGTATAGTAGGTATAATAAAATATTTTTAACTTACTTTATTTTCTACTTCGTACAACGTCGTTCCTTACTATAATGGTAACTATATTCTTTCATATTGTTCTTCCTCTGAAGTCGTGCACTCGATTTATAACGTTAAAATCTACTTCGTCCATATAATAGAGGTCATAAACTAGCTACAAAAACAATAAACCAAAATGACCTAAGCATAATTAGAAACTCATTTATTGGCACTTTACTATTTTTTTGCTAACATAAGGCGCATATTACACTGTCCGCTAAAACCCTCAGATTTATTACTTGATTTCGGCTTAAAGATTTTAATTGCTTGTTTAATCATATTAGTGTATCCAGGATACTATGTGTTTAAGTTTTCGACACTTGAATATACCAATCAACATAACAGTTTCTGATCTTTTAACAAGGCAGGACGTTAAATGGTCGAAAATAGGAGGAGGAAGAGAACAAGCACATCAACCTACTTGTCATACTTATAAAACTTCTGCAAGATTTAGTCCTTTATAATACCGTCTTATAATTTGTGCCTAACTGCGGTCTTATAATTGTTGGCTAGCTTGCTATTTCAGTCGGATATGTGTGGGACTCTTTCAAAATAAAAAACATTAACTTTTTTATTGTGATCATTTTTAAATTTAATGCCTTGTACTTAATACATTTTAAATTAATCGACTATTTATTTAACAATACATAACAAAAAATTTAATTTAAAAAAGAATCCATAATATAGACATGACCTATTCTTTAGCCCACCAATATCTATGCTATATATGTAGACAGCCCAAATTTCCGCAATTCCTTTTCAAGAATTTTAGTGCTTGTTTGGGGTATTGAGCCAATCAAAAGCTGTGGGGAGGAAAAGATTCCCTTTGTTGGACTTAAATTAAACTTAAAAATATTTCTGCCAAAATGGATATTGGGAGAATAAACAGAATTTTTAAATGAAAAGAAACAATAGCTAAGTATACCTTTAGTTGTTTATTATTAATGAAGCATGTTATACATACAATACAAAAGTATACATAAGAATTTTCCAAATGACAAATGGTTTCTTCAAAATGTTTACCACCTAGAAATAAGTAATATTAATTAGATGGTTCAGCATCAAAACTGATCTGAACCGATAGTACTTACTAATTAACTTTCTAGTACACTTGTTAGAAATTCATACAGTATATGATCGTTTTCCAAAGCCTGTGTTTGAAACAAAATTTAATGTTACTTGTCTGCAAAAGCTTCATTTTATTCAAAGATAAACAGAGCCTTTATCGCTAGACTTGTGACTTGTTTATCAAGTATATTACTTATATTTGTCATAATCCAAAGTACCTTTTAAGTGGTAGTTATCAAACTAAACATAACTGCTCACATACAAACATTTTCTTTAATGTTTTAATATACAATAAATTATTCTACTAGCCTCTTTCTATTGGTTTTCCATGACAAATAGGTATTCCAGAACAAAGCAACAGATTGCACAACAAGAACCTGATACTGAAGTGGCACATAGTAAAAATTAATTAACTGCACCCATGGCCATATGTAATAATTTGTGATAAGGACATCAGTATAGTTTGCTTTCAAATCTGCCTTAATGGTGTCGAATGACTTTCCTTGTAGAGTTCCTACAGCTATTAAAATAAGATATAAAAATGCAGGTGCAAATAAAACTTGATCAACAAAGACTTTTTTCAAAGCTACAGATTTACCAGTAGATCCTATATGTTTATTCAATAAACCATACCAAACTCTTAATGCTGGCCCCTGAAACGAAAATTCTTTGTGAAATTAATTTAATAATAAAGATATAATGTTTTTATCTCATTATTGTAGGTACTGAAGATCTAATTTTTTTTTTGACATCAATGTTAAAACTACAATGACAATAAAAACTTTTTTAAAGTATTACTTCTTTGTAAACCAACAACAGAAAAGTAGCAACAAATGAAAGTACTATATTTAAAACGCACATTTAAAAAAAACAAGTGATAACACTTTATTTAAAACACATAATTAATAAAAAATACAAAGTGAAACACTAATAAATTTATTTAGACTTACGCCGACAAAGAATCCAATTGATGAAAAACCAATCGTTCTTTTAACATCCAAATGTCTCAATTTCTTCTTTTCTATTAGAGATTGGCAAATAATATCGCCAGCAGCCATCAGTGTGCCCGTCTGCACCGCTTGCATTAAATAAGGTCTGCGGTTCAGCAATTGCTGATACAACTTGAATATACTTCGAGCTTTCATTGTTGTCACTTGCATATCTCTTTCTTTTCAGGTCATTTCAGTAAATTTTCACTGTAATAGAATTTATTATTGTAAAAAAATAACCTATCACAAATATATTGTAACTAATCGCACATTTACGAATAAATATTTCAATATCTTTAAAATATCCCCTCCCTGCAGGATTATAATAAGTTTAATACTTACCTAGTATTAATTTAATAAAGCATTTATAATTCAACAACTAATAAACTAAATCGATCGGCCTGCCCACAAACTACATAGCAGGCATATTATGCACAGATCGCTAATATTATGGTAGACATGGTTTTCGAAAATTTTATATAAATAAAGAGTATATTAACAAAAGTACTCTTTGTTTGTAATAGATTCATAGAGATTTTTTTATTCATTCCTTTTGGACGGAACAGATAAAGCAAAGTAAGAGTAAAAGTATACTCGGTGGAACAGACCGACACTCCCGAGGTTTCTAGAGAGTACTATTTGTCTTTAATATGATGTAAAAAAAATTATAAGTCTAGGTCAAATAGTTTCGGAGATATTAAAATACAAAGTTTTTGAAAAAAAATGAGTGTTTTCAACCCTGAGTCAGCTGTTTTTGGGACGTACTAAGGAAAAGTTTTTAACTGGTAATTGACTTCTTCATTTCTAAAAACGAAATAAACTAGTTTGTGATTTATAAGACTGCTTTCATGTAAATTCTACCAGACAATCAATAAACAAGGCAGTCAAAATGCTTAAATCGATTTACAGACTAACAGCCGGTTTCTGATTTGATAGTAGAAAATTTCTACTGCTTATTCTCAATAACCTAAGTTTTTTTTTAATTTCACAAGTCAAATAGTACTAGTTTTATCAAACTGCTATCAACTGATCATCAAAAAACTAAAATCAGAAACGAAAACTAAGTGATGTTAGTTTGAGACGTTTAACTTTAAATTCTCAATTAAGAAACCGAGTGTAAAATTTCCTAAATTATTGTAGAGAGATCAGTCTAACATTAACCTACGTTATTTTAAAAGAGCAGTTCTCCATAAAAATTGTTTGAATGGGGTAATACTCCTTTAACAACGGGATCGTTAATTAAACTCGATAAACTCACAAATCTTCCAGCGATTCATCATCAACACAAATGAACTTTGTTTTAAAAACATTGAGGAATTTGTTATTAAAAAAGCATTTAAAAAGAACATTAAAAAATGCGTGATATCAAAAGACGAATAAAAAAAATGTGAACCGAGTTCGTCCCTCGATATCAAAGCCCCACCCACCAGCCAGCCGCCAGGCGGCTTCATTATTCGGTCGGTATTTTCTGGCCGCTCAATCGCCACCGACCTTTTGCGCTGGAGTGTTGTTGCGCATCGCCGCCGACGCACCGCTGCGAAGCGTCTTTTTTGTCGATTTTTGTTTTGTTCTAGTGCATTTTTAATTGAATTTTTGTTAAGAAGATACTAGAGTGTTCGTCTTGAGTGTTAAGTTTAGTTTAGTGAAGATTGTGTTTAGTTTTGTGTGAAATGTGATGTGTTTTGCGCGTGCATACACTGGCATGCAAAAGAGCGTGCTTAGTTGTCGTCAGAGAAGAATTGAACATTTTCAGCATCGACTATCATTAAGATATCGGTAAATAATTAAATTTATGTATTTCGCGGTCCGTTGTAATCTGCGCACAATCGATATGGCGCATGCGCGTTATAGGGCTGTCAACACTTAGAAATTTAAAATTTTTACTCCATTTTTACACCTCCTCTATTTTTAAATATTAGTCAAATAAAATGAACGTTTGCATGTAATCTAACTTGAAACTTTCGGCTGTGTCGGTCATTTTGTTCCTCCCTGTATATTAGGGAATAGAGAGCCCACAATAAATGAGTAAGTATTTAAAAAACAAAAATTAGTTCTTGAAATCATACTAGATGTCACTAGCAATGTTTGGATTTTGTTTATGATATTCATTCAAATTTTATTTCTGACGTAATAAAAGTAAACTGAGTATCGAAAATTAATAAATATGACATTGTTTTGTGTTTCTTACAATATCTAACTTTCAAATTAATTTTAATTTATTTTAATTGTAAGTTTAAGTTATTTATTATGTTACATGTAAAGGAACGAAAGGGGTGTCCGAACAACATCTAACGGATCCCAAGCCAACCTCACCTGCACGCGGTACACCCTGCCGACTAACCAACGAGGCTCTGACGCTGCCCACCAACCCGCACTGGGCCAGCGTGTTGGGAGACGGCCCAAAACCCTTCAAAGATAAAAATAGATTTAAACGAAAGGCCCAGAGTGCCCAGTGGTGCGGTAAGCCGTGCTGGCGCGGACGGACGCCGACTCGGCGAAGGCACCAGGGGTGCGAAGAACCCCCGGGTGGCAAAGATCTCCCGTCAAACGACCTTGGCCCTGGCAACCTACAACGCACGCACACTGCGGACCGAGGAAAAGCTGCTGTAACTAGAGAAGGAATTGGGCAGGATTCGTTGGAGTATTATAGGATTATCCGAAGTCCGAAGAGAGGACGAGGACACGATGATACTTATATCCGGTAACCTGCTCTATTTCCGGGAGGGCGAAGATCTGTCCCAAGGTGGTGTCGGGTTTATCGTCCACAAGTCTCTCGTGAACAATATTGTACAGATCGGAAGTGTATCGAATAGGATGGCGTACCTTATACTCAGAATCACCGAACGGTATTCGCTGAAGGTCATACAGGTTTACGCCCCAACCTCGACGCAACCCGACGAGGAAGTGGAAGCCATGTATGAGGACATTTCTCGGGCAATACATGGTTCCACGACCCACTACACTGTTGTCATTGGAGACTTCAACGCAAGGCTAGGCAAGCGTGGCGATAAGGAGTTGAAAGTGGGGCAATTTGGATTTGGGATCCGGAATCACCGTGGTTAAATGCTAGCCGACTACATGGAGAGGGAGGAACTCTATATGATGAACTCCTTCTTCAAAAAATGGCCGCATCGAAAATGGACCTGGAAGAGTCCGGATAGGGTGACAAAAAAGAGATTGACTTCATGACGACACAGTGAGTTCAAAATTTCTCAATCCGTACTCAAAATAGAAGCAAGATCTCAGAGAAGACAAGCAAGGCATCAATATAAACGGAGTGTACATGACGCACCTTCGTTTCGCTGATGATATCGTAATCATGGCTCAGACCATGGAAGATCTAGGCACAATGCTCGAAGACCTCTGTAGAGTTTCCCAGCAAGTGGGTTTTAAAATGAACATGGAGAAGACAAAAATAATGTCAAACTCCCATGTCGTTCCCACTCCAGTGAATGTTGGAGGCTCAACACTGGAAGCTGTCGACGAGTACGTTTACCTGGGACAAATAGTCTGATTAGGTTAGTCCAACTTCCAGAGAGAGGTAAATCGACGGATCCAACTCGGCTGGGCAGCGTTCGGGAAGCTCCGCAGTGTATTCTCGGAATATCTACCGCAGTGTCTCAAGACGAAAGTCTTCAATTCGTGTGTGTTGATGACATACGGAACTGAGACGTGGCCGCTTACGATGGGCCTCATAAGGAAGCTCAGGGTCGCTCAGAGGGCAATGAGAAGAGCTATGTTCGAGGTTTCTTTGCCAGATCTAATCAGAAATTATGAGATCCGCAGAAGAACGAAAGTCACCGACATAGCTCAAAGAATTGCGAACTTCAAGTGGCAACGGGCAGGACACATCGCTCGCAGGACTGACGGCCGTTGGGGCTGTAAGGTCCTGGAGTGGCGATCGTGTACCGGAAGACGCAGTGTTGGTAGGCCCCCCACAAGGTCGACCCCACAGGACCGACGATCTGGTGAAGGTCGCGGGAATCTGCTGGATGCGGAAGGCGCAGGACCGATCGCTTTGGAGATCTTTTGGGAAGGCCTTTGCCCAGCAGTGGGTGTCTCTCGGCTGAAATGATGATGATGATGAAAGGAACGATGTTTCGTTGATACGTACGATAACAATAAGTTGCTCATCACTAATGTTACGTAAGATACGTAACATTAGTGATGAGCCAACTTATTGGTAGCTCGTAACTTTCTTCCGAATTCAGGTTTGGAATGAAGAACAAAAAGCGGAGTGCAGAATTCAGCTTGTATTTTATGTGTCATTATGCATCCACAAAACGAATGATATTAATATAAATATCAAAATCAATTCAGTCTAAGCTGTTACATAGTACTTGTGAAAGTCGAAAATTTTGCCAATGGTTCGCAAAACAAAGGCGGGAGATCTTGTACTGACAAGAATCGGCAAGAAACTCAGCAAGGGCTGCTTATTTAATTTTAATTATACAACTCAACTATACTTTATTTGATGGAACTTAACGACCTAACGCACACGACACCACCGTAGAGTTTTTAAGAAAACATGACTACTCTAGGTACTTAGTAAATAATATATTTCAATAAAACTGATTTCTAGAGTAGGTTATGTAGGAAGTCAATCTATTATTATTAACAATATTATTGTAAGAATCAAAAAGCACATACCCACCGTACGATTAACTTAACACATGGCTTGACGTCCGCCGTCGACATGCAAGATCAGTAACAATAGTATATAGTATAGTATAGTGTAGTGTAGTGTAGTATAGTATAGTATAATAACTGTACGTGTTTTTGTGATTTTGAAATTTAAAGTTATAATCTTGCTGTTCGTTTAGAACAGACAGATTTATTTAATAATTGATCATAGTTTTTTAAAAGCACAAGTTATTTGCACGTTACACTTTGCACAAATGTCATTTTAGCCAGAAGTCATGTTATTTTGTAAGGATACTGTTGCGGATCTTCCTGAATCTTGAACAGATTCACACGTAGCTAGCCGATGCTGGACTGTATAATTAAAACTCCTTCGATGGTTTCACTTCTTCTTTATTCGTAATCTTGAGGGCCGGAGAGCTTAAATTATCGCTCAAAACGACCCGTTTTACATCTGTTGGGGTGGCTCGCACCTAGCTCCGTTGTGGCGGTTAAGCCAATTAAATAGACTATATCAGATATGATAACTTATTTAATTACGTACAAGAGGGTAGGTCCCCAAAATAGTTTTATAAAAATTAAATTTAAAGAAATATTGAAAATTTAGGGTGTGGGTCCGTGACATTAAGCAACCGTCTCGTAGCAGATTCTTGGTCACCACTGTCCTGGCAATCCAGATAATATCGCACGTTGCAGATCTCCGGTCACTGGTCCCAGTAATACAGACACGACTGGTGCAGAAGTAAAGGTTTCCCGAATAACGTGTGTAGCACAATCCAGACCTTTCTTTACCCTGCCAGAGGATAGGTCCCCAATATGGGGAATAAACACATA